TAACACGCACAACAAAAACCTTCACAAAACACCGCAAAACACACCACAAGCCTCACCGAACGTCTCCTTGCTACCGCGACCTTGCCCACAGGAAGCCGCGACCGCGTGGCAGCAGGGAAAATGGCCGCGGATCCAGTTCGTAAGTCGAGGCGAGTTCATAACCCGAGGTACCACTGTATTAGCCATGGTGAAATGAACATTTAATCTCTAACAGCTCTGAGTGTGAGCACAGATTAACACCCAAGGATCTGAGACAAAGACAGGGAGAAGAGCAAACACCTTAGAGGACAGTATCAAGCTTCAAGAGAATTTGACATATTATGGGCCCCTGGCCTGCCTGTATTGGCTGTTCGAACCTGTCTGTAAAAAACCTATAAGTTCCAGATCTCCAGAAGTTCTCTCTATTCTGAATTATTTTGACCACACCCAAAATATTGCATCTAGTTCTGTGCCCCACATTTTAGAAAGGACACTGACAAACTGGAGCAGGTCCAGAGCAGGGCAACAAAGACAATAAGGAAGGAATCTGGAAGGAAAGATGTATGGAGAACAACTGGAGGCCCTGCGTCTTTTCAGCCTGGAAAAACTGTGGGGTGACACGATAGCTATCTTGAATGGCTGTGGTGCAGAAATGGGGCAGAATTGTTCCACATTGTTCCAGAAGACAAATCAAGAAACCAGGGGTTTAAATTATAAGGAAATATATTTCTACTGGATGTTAGGCAGAATCTCCTATGATAAAAGCTGTACATCAGTGGAGCAAACTACCTCAGGAAACGTTCAAACAGAGGCTGGATGGCCGTCTGCAGGGGGTGCCACAGTAGTGGATTCTTTCACTAGGCAAGGGGTTGGACTAGACAAAAGTCCCTGTCTGACCCTTACCATCTATGATTCAGACCTGACTGGCAGGGTGCCAACGTGTGAGATGAATGGAAGCCTTCAGAGAGGGTTATCAAGCAAAGAAGCAAAGTACGGCATGTGGGTGAATGTGAAACAGGTCCTATGCACTTCAAGGGTCTCCCAAAGAGATCCACTCCATAGATCAGCTGAACCAATTCAGTGCCAGAGGGATATGCGCACGCATGTTCCTAGACGCGTGAATTAGGGTATGTGGATGTGTGTGTGGAGAGAATGAGAGGTGCGCTTCTCCGGGAACTCACTTTTGGCTGGCCTCCATCTCTAACAGAGCCGAGAGCGCTGAGGTCCCCTTCTTGGCTAGCGGAGGTGGCCCCGGAGGCTCCAAAGAGGGAGCAGGAAGGGGGCTGGTCATCTGTAAGCCTTTCATTGCAGGACCTTTCTGGACAGAAGGAGGACAGCAAAGAGTCAGCGAGGAGGAGGAGAAGGAGAAGGAGAAGGAGAAGGTCAGGGGAACCTTGTGTTGGGCAGTTTTATGACAGCTGTGGTTTTGCCCAAAGGTTTCTGGGAACTGTAGTTACAGGAAAGCAGTGAGAGCTTTCTTCCTTTCATCTATGAAGAGCAACAGTCCTCAAAGGAATTTGCTCTACTGCTTTCTCGAAAGCGGAGAACTTGCATAATCTTGCAATGCCTGTCATCTGAATGGCTCCTTGTGGTGGTGGAAGTTTTTATTGTATTTTACTATGCTGTAAGCTGGTATGACACTGGAAGATTCAGCAGCAAACGAATCTGATAGGTAAATAAATAAAGTCTTACCTTCTTCATGTGGGCATCTTAACTGCTGTCTTTTCACCCTTCTTTTTTAAAAAACCCATCTGCCAGGAGGCTGAGACAGTCTCGTGTTACTTCTACAGCAGAGGATGAGCTCTGTTCTGTAACCGGGGATTTGGGGTTGGGGGGACCGCCAGCCCCTTGAAGCACCCCGGCGGCGTGTCCTGACTTACCCGGATGATCCGGTCAGAACGGTGCCGTCTGCGGATGCGGTTCAGGCCTTCCACAAAGCGGGTGAAGCCGTCCAGAAGCTGCCACTCCTCTTCGTCAGAGCGAGCCTTGCCGCCGTACACATCGCAGTGGGCTTCGCCTTCCATAACACGCTTTGTGGCACTGATGCAGGCCGGCAGGAGCAGGAAACGCGTCCGCCAGAATTTTAGTGACTCGATGAGGCTGTGCGGAGAGAAAGCGGTAGCTGAGGGGGAAGAAATCAAGCCTGATGCTTTCCTCCGTGGTGTTGTCACGTGTGGTCATCTGACACTCCCTTTTCCCAGTGAGCATTTCATACACCATCTCTTCCCTCTCTTGCAAATACATCCCCACAATCTTCTGTTTTAACTCCTAACCGCATTTACATGGCTGCCATTGGGAGCCCGGAAGAAATGGAGGAACCGCGGCCCTTCCCCACCGGGCTACCTGGAAGGATAAGGAAAAGGCACCCGAGAGTTCAAAAGGGGGGTTTCCTTCTGCCCCGACTAGGCAGAGGTACAAGTGCTGAGTTGCCAGAAGGGTTGCTCATTTTTTGAACCATCTCTTGAAATATTAAGAGATACAGGTCAGGAAAGCCATATAAATATTAAAAAAAAAAAAATTACAGGTGGCAAGCCATGTAATCTGTTAAAGCAGCACTTTTATCATTGCAGGGGGAAACAAACCAGCCCCCAAGAGCTCTTCCTCTGTTTTCTCTCCCAGTTAATGCAATGCCAGGGAGACAATGGGGGTCTGGGCTACCAGCCTTTGGCTTCTCACCACCATTACTCCAGCCAAGGAGAAGGTCCACAGGATCTTTTCTTACTGAACAGCTGAAAATGTACCCTATTTATACAGAAATCACTTCCAGTTTTTTCCCTCACAAGGTATTCCCACAAGACTGGAACAAGTTCAAGCTGCCCATCTTTCTTCTGGAATGTTTTGACTCATTCTGAAGAGCTAAACGGAGACCTATGTGAAACATCTAACAGACCCTGCATTTCATGCCCATTTCTGCAGACTGATGCCCCCCAAATAATTCCCCATGGCCTTTCATCAACCCCCTTTTAACCCCCTTCCCAACAATCTCCCTTAACCTTTAACACGTCTAGGAGCAAAGGCAACAGTGTTATTCCAGGTCAGACGATTTGTCCTCCTTGCCCAATACTGCTAACGCTGGCACTCCCGGGGTTCTTCCCTGATTTGGAGTTAGTGCTTCCTGCGCTGGGACAGAGGCTCTTCCCTCTAGCGGAGACTACAGGACCCTTAGAATTTAGGTTAACAGAGAATGCACATCGCTGATGCAACTGTGACTATTAATAGTTCCAAGTTCTCTGAGAAGTGCAAGGAAGGTGAGCAAAAAGACCGTTTCCTGTAATGTTCCCAAAGCTGCTCCCTGGCAGATGCTGCCTCCAGGGACCTCCCCGCTGACCCAATAACAAGGCTGGCTGTTCTGCCTTGGGACTCCTTACAAGGGCATCCTTTCGAAGTGGAAAAGCATCGCAGCAAACAAGGCCCTCTGCTTACCTAAAATCTTCTGAACCAGCAGAGCAGATGTACTGATCCAGATAATTCCACTTATATTCCTCTAACCTCTCGTGGGAAAACTCAACCCAGCAAGAGACAAACTCTGAGTCTGAGTGGGAAGGACACAGACTGTAAGTATAATTGATCTGGGCAGATTCATACGGGTACCTAAAAAAGAACAGAAATATCAAAGCAAGCCTTTTCAAGCCAGATGCCAGGGTGGTTTTTCTTATTTTCTAACATAAAAGCGGCAAATGAAGGACTTTTGCCTCCCAGCTTTCCTACTCTTGTGCAAAAGACAGTGAAACTTGCCTCAGGACCCTTCTAAAATGTAGGGCCTGCTGATTTACTGGGAATAGAAAGCTGCCAAGCGTGGCTGCCGAGTGCCAGAAAGCAAGCCGTCCACTTTGTGCTTGGAATCGGGTTGAAAGGTCAGGAGAAGGTAGAGACTTTACAAAAATGCTCTCTCTGTCCCGGGAAAGGAGAAAGCGTGAAAAAGAAGCTCCAACCACTCTGCCTTGATTGGGTGAGGGCGGCGTACGTTGAAAGGCTTTTGGGGTTCTTTTCCAGCACCCTAAAGTGCACTGAAGATACTGCAAGACTTCCAGTGACTCCCGTTTCCTGACCTTCTCTGCTCAAAGGGCTCACAGGAACAGATACTCACTTTGGCAGATACCGAGTGACAGTAATGATTTTGTCCTTCAGGGTCACTTTATGGAAGGTCCGGCCCATGCTCAGCCAGTGCTGGTCATCCTCCTCAGGTCGATTTCGTGACACAAGGCCTAGTTGCAGAAAACACGTCTAGCTTTCCAACCAAGCCTTCTACAGCCTTCCCCAGCTGTGGGCATTGGGACTGCAGCTCCCAGAATTCCTCTCCAGAATGGTGGCTGGCTGGGAATTCTAGGAGCTGAAGTCCTAACGCCTCTGATGGTTGCCTGGTTGCTCTCTCGCATTTCAAACCACTGAAGTACTCAGAAAGGTTTGGACAAGATACCCAGCCGCCTTCCTAGCATTTTCTTTAAAGTTGCTGGACAGGCTTCACTTCACTTAGCCCCTTGCAGGAGGGGCAGCAGCTGCCTCCAGTGGTCTGACCCATGGGGAAAGGGGGCAATCTGCCAGGAACTTCCCCAGGGCAGGAAGGGGGCACAGGATCTCACTCAAACCCATACGGCATATGTAAAAGCACGGTAGGAGATGGGATTTAAGATAAATAGCCAGGGAGGGAGAAGCACACCACTTTTGAAACCCACCACATCAGCGAAATCTAGTGCAGATCTATGTCACTTTGGCGTTCAGTCTCTCTCTTCTTCTTTCTCCACACTCATACACACTCCTTAAGTACTGTAACCCATTCTCATGGCAATCGGCTTCTATTTCTCCCAAAACACCCCCCTCTCTCTTCCATATAACCAAGGATGCTCTTATAGTAGCCAATCTGTTTCCACTGACAGGCACTCCTTCCTTCCTTGCAATGTATTATTCCTCAGCTACCAGCACATCTTAAAATTTGTCATCCATCTTTCAATGAATGGTAAACTTTCTACCATGGTGCACAAAAATTATCTATTTATGTTTAACTTGCAACTATTGTTCCACTTTCCTTATCAAACAGAGGTATTTGGGGTTTTAATTTTCAGATCCATACGCCTTCTTTCATCATACAATCTATTTAATATTTGCTGCAAATCTTTTGGATTTTCAGCCAACATCACGGCATTGCCTCCATACCAAAGCACTGAACGTTCACTTCCCAATTAATATGCCTCTGTCATGGCAATAAGGATCCTTGTCTTTGCTCAATGTTGAACCATCACTAAATATTTCATTTATTCTCACACATGCCTGACGTCTGTCCTGTATTGCTCATATCACATCCAGCAGCCAACCCTCCACTGCACGTTCACATGAAATACGTGGTTTTTCAAGCCTCTAGGATGTCCTTTCTCTAGGTTCCATGCTGGCAGGTACATCTCTCAGGCAGGACTGAGCCGTTTCAACTCAGAGGGGATTCCCAAATATTAAGCAGCCCAGTAAGCTGCAGCCATTAACACTGCTATCACTATCCGTTAAAATATAAGCTCCAGGCCTTCCTGAAGCCTCTGACCAAGAGCCAAGAGGAATCTTGCTGGCATGTCTAGGTCTATTGAATGAGAGCTTGAATACAGGTGTCCCTTTACTACGTTTCTCCATTCCAGTACATTGATTAGACGGACGGACAATTTTCCCAAGGAATCTAAGCAGAGGTGAATTAAATTGGCAATCACATTGCTTCCCTAAGTTGCCTTGCAGCTCCTTGATTCTAGAAAGATCTCCCAGCGTGGAAAAGGTAGTGAGGGAGGTAGCCAGCGAGTAGGAGCAGCAAATACAATACCAAGCTACAGAACAGAAAAGCTCTTCCTCTTTACACACCTCACACCCTTCTCCCAACTCACACAGAGAGTTCCTCCTTTTCTATTTTATGACCTAAAAGTGTTGGACTCTGACCAGCTGGTTTTCATCAGCCCTGGCATGGCATATTGTTACAGTGTGGGGAGGGGTCTATCTGTCCCTGGATCAGGGAAATCCAAGTCCTATTCTTGGTACTTTTAACCATCCGTCATCCTTTGATCTTTGCCTGGTCCGGGGCAGATTGCTGTTTCAGTTCATCCTAGGGTGCTTTTTGCCTCCAGGCACCCGGGTGTTCAGATGGATTGTGTGGACTTCATTAGGCTGGGTGCTCATCATACAATCCACTGAGCCCACTTTCTGTCGTGATCGCTAGACAGGTCACTTGCTGATTATGCTCTGTGTCTCTCGGGCTCAGGTACCCGTGGCTGCCTGTGTCCAAAGGACCCTTCCAGCGTGGGACTCACCTCTGCTGTACAGGGGGCTGCTGCTAAGGGGGGGCTGGACCGCTGCTGGCTTCTGGGGCTTACTCTGCACAATGAGTTGGTAGCCCTGCATGAGACGCTGGCAGATGAACTCCTCAAAGACCTGCTGGGCTGTCATCTGCAAGCCTTCCTCGTCCCTCCTGAGAAAGAAATGGGGGGGGGGTCATCACAGGGAGAGAGAACAAAGCTGAAGATCCCCCCCGCCCATTACTTCCTCTTCTCCAGAGAAGTCTGTGCCAGAGGACCCCGGAACCCATAAGGAGGGCCGGTGCCATCTGGCACCAACTCCTGGCACTTTCAGCCACAGGGCCCTGCCAAGGCCAGGACACCCTTCCCTGCTCTCTCCCCACCCGTGAGTTCAGGGGAGCCAGAAAGTGGGAGAGCTCCTGGAGCCTGCCTCTCTGCCATGGAAATGCCTCTAGGCCACAGCTACCTCCTGACTAGGCTGGCTGCTATGTGTTCTATTTCTTAGATTATGCATTTTATCTATTTTACTGTAAGCCGCCTAGAGTCACAAACATGAGATGGGCAGCTATATAAACCAAATGGATGGATGGATGGATGCTCGCTCCAGCTGTCATCTCTGCTGCTGCTTCTGTTCTACTCCCTTCAGGTGCCCTAGAAGACTGGCTGGTGCCACTCTTTGCAGTGCCCCTTGCTCTGGCACTGGTCCCGGAATGACTGGAGAATGCCAACTCCATGCTTTTACTCAGCCCAAATGTCCCCCCGGAGCTGAGCTATTGGACACGCTGGCAGATCAGCTCCCCTGAAGGCTGCTCCCCTCCTCCCCAGAAATATGCTTAGATAGTAAGAGCCTTGGGGCTTCCTACCAAGGGGAAATCATTTGGCACATTTAGATTGTGTTATAAAGTGCCACACGCAACAATGCCATTTTGGATCCTTCCGAAGAGGCACCCCCAGACACGACCACCTACAAGCCCAGCCAAGGAGGAGGAGGAGGACACAGTGACATACCATGCCCGAGAACTGCAGAGGTGCTATTGCTGGAACTGAAAGCTACAAGTTCAGAAGCACAAAAGCTACCAGGAATGTCTGGACAAGGTGCAAGGCAGTAATGGGCTCAAGCAAGTAAAGGCGACTGGCCAAAATTGGATCAAAATGTTCCCCCGGTTGAGTAAATACTCTGGGGAGCTAAATCTGCAGAATGCAGCTTTTCTGAATGGCCACTTCAAAACCAAGGGCCATCCTGTCTCCTCTCTGCAGATGTTGCATCAGGGCCTGCAGTTCAGAGACGGAGCCCGAGTTGTCCCATGCTGGGAAGAGAGGTCCCATCTACCTCTCTCCAAGGACAAGCTGATCACCAGCCACTGGGGTCAGGCTGGAGCAGAGGGGACAAGGTAGACGCCTCTCCTCCCAGCCATGCCTCGTTGGGGCTCGGACGACAGCTGGTGTTACTTGGTTGCCTGAGAGAAAGTGGAGTCCTCGGGCAGAGACGTACCTCTCCAGGTCTGCTTCAGGTAGGAGATCGTAGCAACCCTCCGTGTAGTCATTCTGCAGGCTCTGGCGGTCCGGGAAGTAATCCGTGGTCAGGGGAAGACACGCTGGAGTGGTGAGAGACTTCCAGTCCACCCCAACAGTACAACAGAAGCCTGGCACTATGGGGGGAGCAGACAGCGTCAGAACTGTCTCGTGATGGGGTACAGATGACAAGGAGGAGGAGGAGGAGGAGGAGGAGGAGGAGGAGGAGAAGGAGGAGGAGGAGGAGGATAAATCAGGAGCCAGGAAGTGGTGGGAGGAGGAAGGTGCCACATAAGCAAATGGAAAGAAACAGATACACAAGGGGTGAAAGAAATGAAATCAAAAAGGGGGGGACAGTGGGGAGAAAGGGGGGGAAAGAAAGACAGAGTTTGTTAAACAGTGCAGTGAGCCCATGCCAGCTCATTCCCATCATGCAACTGGGGGTTTAAAAGTTAATATGGTTCAATTGCTGTTGATTTGGAATCCAAGCCAAACTTGGACCAAGCTGCTGCAGAATTAACATCACTCTCAAGCACAATGAGGCGCACAAAAACACCGAACAGCACCAGTATTTCAAGCCCAATCCAGCGAATTAAACCAGGTCCTCCTCTTGCATCAGTGCGAGAGAAATTGCAGGGTGGGGCGGGGGGAAGCCTGTGTTTGCCGAACAGGCACATCAGTACCAGCAGCCATAGCAGAAAGAGACGAGAGGGGGCATTCTCAGAGTTCTCAAAGAAACAGAAAATGGAAGAAAAATGAGTACAGGTAAAAGCGGAAACAGGAGAGGGAAATCCAGGGGAAAGCAGTTTTGCTGGACTTTCTCTGAATGCCAGAAAAGAGGCGCTCTCGGGACCGGAGCGGCTTTCGCTCCACTTTGAGTGGGACCCAGCCCACTCCCACTCCCCTCTCCCTAGTGACGCAGCGCAGAGGGCACCCCCTTCAGAGCTACTGGCGGGGGCCGGCCGAAGGAAGCTGAGTGGAAGCGACGCTAGCGGAGCTTTGACCGCGGGGTCTGTCTCACGGACCTGTTAGGATTCCTCGGAAGACCCACACGCAGCTGGGAGTAATCTGATCAGCACGAGATACTGAGATCTCCACACCTATATTGGAGGAGAGCTCCCTCGCAAATGCTCCCCATCCAGGGCTGGGGAAATGCTAGAAGAGCAGGGCAGGTCTTTGGTGGAGAGCAGAGTAAGTGGCCAGTTCTATACTGAAGCAAAGCGAGGGTTGGAACTGGATGTTTAAGGTAGGCCTATGTTCTTGGGAGCAACAGTAAGATGAACAAGAGGACAGGTACAGGAGGAGAGAGAAGGGAGGAGGGCAGCAGGTTTTCCAGAAGCCTGGCCCAGAAGCGCTCCTTCTCAGCTTCAGGAAAGAGATATGAAAACGGCATCGTCAGTTATGTCCCAGTGCTGGTCAGCTAAAATCTTTCTGCAAAACTCTGCAACTCAGCTCCAGAGCTTAATATTTCATCTCTAGCACTTCTCATTCGTTTCTACCCAGAGTTGCTGGGAACCGGGAGGCACATAAATTTAATACACACAAACACACATAAACACATTTCAATACCAATTTAAAGCATCTTCATTGGCCCTGAGAAGGACCTTGGCAGGAATATGCTTCCTAAAATAGATCCTTCCCTTCAGGCCCAGCTTGCCACTCTTCTCCTTCCACCTGGTCATTCCTGGGAGGCCACAGAGAGGGCCTGATGCCCACGGGTGCACGGCTGGGTGTTTCTCTCCCCTTCCTCCACAAGAGGATGGCAATGCAAAGTCTGGACTCTAGCTTCTGCTAGGACTGGCTGGAGGTGCCACTCCAGAGTCAAGAGACTGACAGCAAAGGGAGATAAAAATGCATCCAGACTTATCCCCCTCCCCCCCAAGGCAGTGCTGCTTAGGAGTTATTTTCTTTGGGCTTTCAATGGATTGTTGGCCTAAGTTTGCCCTTCTTTCTTAGAAGCTGACCCAGGATGCTTCCTAGGGCAGTTTCCCCATGAAATACCCTTGAGGGAGTCACTCACATGAAGATACATCCACAATCCCATCGCTACCATTCTGCACACCAGTAACCCAACCCAAACTTCAAAGCCTGTTTTCACTGTCTGGAGGTGATGCCTCAGAGCAGAAAGATTTGGAAGAGGCTTTCCCGCTGGTGCATGAGGAAGAAGAGGAGGAGCTCTTTGAAAACGGGATTTTCCACTTGCATGGTTTCTTTACATTAAGAACTTGTATTCTATTTTTTATTGCTGCCTAATTAATGCACAGCTTCTTTGGAAGCTGAGAAAAAGGCTGTTATCCTTTTGAAGGGTACCAGCACCGATGGTCCCTTTTCTGTTATCTCCTGCTGGATGTTCCTTGCTTGGTCCAGAAGACTTGCTTGAAACAGAAGGCTTATCAGCTCCTCTCTCCATCCCGGCTGGAGCAATGTTTACAAAAATCACAAGCTAAAGGTCGAAAGAGTTGATACAACAAAGGGAGCTAGCTTCTCCCTTTTGGTTTTTCTTTCTTCCATTATTATCTTGGAAGAGAATTTTTCAAGGATGGAGCCATGCCCTCATGCAGCCGGGCACATGGGTACATCTCCAGCAGCAGGAACTGACTGACAGCTGGAGCTGTGACCACTAAATCCAAAAGCCCTCCCAGAGAGAGGGGGACACATAAGTCTGTCTTCCGTGGCATTTGAGAATGTGTTCCATGTGAAAGAAACACGCATATCAAAGCACATCACTTCAAGGAAAGACGTCACGAAAAAGAAAGGAAGTGGGGTGAGAGCCTGGGCCCTGGCGTTGACCCTCAACCTCACACGGCTTTAGCAGACCAACCTTCTCCCCCCAGCCTCACCCCACTGTGCTTACTTGGATCTGGTGAGCCTTCCCACGGCTCGTTTGGTGTGTGGACATTCATTCCTGCCTTCGCTGAAAGGGAAGGGGATACAGAGGGCTTTCAGGAACAGCATCCAATTCCCAAGTATCACGTCCAAGTCAACCAAGTAATATAATTACCCCTATCCCCTACACCCAGATAATCAATCCCTGGGTACATCATTTGCCTCAATACTGACCTGCTTCTAAAATCTTTATACTACAGCTCAGGTTTATTATGCTGTAAACAACTGAGGACTCCAATCAACAAGGGGGTTATGCATTTCTTAGCAACCAGCCCAAAGCAGATTTCTCTTGCACTAGTTTCTTTGAAAGGAGGGAGCCTAATCCTGTGAGCATCGCCTCCCACACAAACAAAGGCAATGTACAAGGAACTTGGCTGCAGCAGGAGAAGAACAGACAACATTCAAGTTGCCAACTCCATCAGCCATTCAGTTTTGGGTGCCCATGAAATCCAACAGCAGAAAAATGGCTACCTGCTCATGGGATCAGCTCTTCCAGGCTACCTTAAAGCATCCAAAGCCAGGTGGGTTTTGTGGATGAGAGCAAGGCCAGGTGGAGAAGCAATACCCCATCTCAGCCAGAACCCGCTCACTTGATTACCTAGACTCTGGCTACCCGTCAGCTGGTTTGGATAATCTTTCATGTCTCTGAAGCTCAAGAATGAAGTGCTGTCCTCAGGCTGCCGAGAAATGCCATGCCTCGAGAGAAGGAGAGAGAAGCCCGCCTTAGACTAAGGCAGCTATGCTCTGGGCCAGATCCCCAACTCCACCCCCTCCCCATAAGCAGGAGCTCCCCGTGTCCTCAACAAGCATCTTGCAAGTCAACCAAGGGGGAGGAGGCAACGTTAGCCATGCTGCATGCACACTTCCATTGACCGCGGATAAACATCCTTTCTATCCAAACCCCATTCTGTTGTTACCATGAGGACTATTTTGAAAGTGTCCATGCACAGAAAAGAAGATCAAAAGGCAATTAAAAAAAACTCACTGGGCAGCTGTAAAAAGAATGGGAAAGGGAAGTAGAAGGCTGAGGTGGAAATCAAACAACAGGAACAGATATTTTAAAAAATCAAACAAAAGAAGATAAATCCCCAGATGAATCTTCTAGAGAAACTAGAAGTACCTAGAAAAAGATGAAGCAAGCACATATTGTATATAAAAGCAGCAATTAAAAACAACAAACAAATGTTGGCATCTCTGTGAAGAATCGAAAGGTCCAATACGAGCCGTACAAATTTACTCTGATAGATAGGAGAAGACTGTAAATGGGTTGCATCTTTTTCAGAAATAACAAGAAGTGGATTCCTGGAAGGACTATTTAGATTCTGTTCTATCACTTTAACACTGCTTCTTTAATTACAAAACTCCCCTTTTCTTGTTTGAGAGCCAGCATAACATGCATGTGCAAAACAGTTCACGAGACAGCTAGCTAGACAGACACCAGCTCATAAAATTTTTCTCCACTGAGGATCTAGTATAAATGTATCAGCGCTTCCTGACCTTTAGTATTACATTAGGTTTTATAAGATCAAATATTAACATTTTGTGACCTGTTTCATCCCAAGGAGGATATATAAAAGAGGTCCATCTAAGAAATGCACGAAGATGCACGTTCCTATTTTTCAAGATGCTAAATTAGCCCTGGGGGAAAAGTTATTTCTAAGGCCTCTATTAATGGGGGACATCTGCACATCTGCTTTATGGGTTACTCTTTCAAACCAATGGATCAGAGTTGACTAGGTTTAATCCCAAGCTTCACGTTGTAATGGCCTGGCAGCTATAAGCATTTATGGCTCCCCAAAGGGCCTAATTTAAAATATGTAATCTGTAAAATGGATTTAGCCTTGCTGCTTAACAGATTAAAAGAACCGAGTAGGATCAAAATAATCTTTCAAAACAGTTTGATCCTGGGTGCATCTGAAATTAATTCTTGTCACAATTATGTATCAGAGTCTACAAAACCTCTCTCAACAGAGCATTCCACATGCCAGGTGCCGCCCCCCAAAGACCTAGACTCGACAGCCCTAGGCCTAATTTCATAAAACAGGGGTCTAGAAATAGTGGCCTAGATGACAAGCAAAGCACATAGGAAGCTTCCCAGGAAAGATGGTATCAAAGCAGTTTAGAATGTTAACACCAGCACCTTGGATTCAACCTGGAAACACACTGGCAACCTGTACATGCAGGACAACAATTTCAGTCAGTGTTGTTTTGAATGGAAAACAGTGTAAAAGGTTTCTGAAAGGGTTCTCCAGAGTGGGATGGTGGTCTTGCTATGGCATGGTACCCAGTGAGTTATGTGTCCACTTGCCAAACGCCATTACCTGCCAGCCGCCTCGTGATAGGCGAGTTCCAACAGCTCTGCTGAGGAGTGAGTCCAGTCCCTCTGCCCGCTGCCCTGCATTTCTGCCATGTTCTGACGGGTCTGGTGGTGGATCTGGATGGCCTCTCCAGAAGGACCTGTCCAATCACATATTTCTGCTTTGTTAGTCACCTTAAGCAAAGCTGGCTGAAGTTCTGTTTATGCATGTATGGGTTCATCATATATATAATCTCCAATGCATAAATCCCATTTCAAAGAGGGGAAAAAGGGGTCTCAGGTAAATACAGATCGGTCAGCCTGTTGTTATATCCGGCAAAACCTGGAGAGATTACTGAGTAATCTATGGATTGCTAGGCAGAAACCAACATGAGTTTATCAAGAATGCAAGTCGTGACAAACTGACATGATCTTCTTTTGGATAAAGTGACCAGTATACTGACCACAGGGGCATCGTGGATATAATATACCTTGACTTTGGCAAAGCATTTGACAAAGTCTCCCCATGAGACTCTTGTACAGTGATGGCAAACCTATGACATGCATGTCAAAGGTGACACGCCATGACGTTTTGGGTGATACGCCACTGTTCACCAACACCTGACAACAACTATTCTCCCTGAGTTACCAAAGAAACTGAGTTTGTTTTACTCGTATTTCATTTTTGTATTTATTTGAAGTTTCTTTATATAATACATAGCACCATACATGATTGGACTGTATTTTTTTAAAGTAAATGAATATGTAAAGAATTGTTTCTCTTTTGGGGGGGGGGGTTACATGCCAGCAGAGTCAAGGTAGGCATTTTCCAAATTTTTGACATGCCAAGCCCAAAAGGTTCGCCATCACTGCTCTAGTAGAAAAGATTACAAAACATGGGCCGGACTGTGCTATCAATAGATGGATACAGGTTAAACAAGGGTATTTCAAGGGCTCTGTGTCAAGCTGGGAATAAGTGTTGCAAGGGTACTGCACGATTCTGTTCTATGCTTTCAACATATTTATACATGATTTGGGTGAGGGGTTGGAAAACATTGCTATAAAATTTGCAGATGATCTTCAGTTGAGTAGGAAAAGTCAAAGGCATGAGACATAGTTGCAGAGGAGACCATACTGGGCAGCAGTACAAGTGAAAACCATTCTAGCCCTCCTGGATTTCTCAGCAGCTTTTGATACCATCAACTATGGTATCCTTCCGAACTGGCTCCGGGATTTGGGAGTGGGAGGCACTGTTTTGTAGTGGTTCGCCTCCTTCTGCCCTGGCTGGTTCCAGTTGGTGTTAGGGGGAGATTTAGACCTAGGCCCCTGTGGTGTGGGGTGCTTCAGGGCTCAGGTCTCTTGCTGCTCCTCTTCAACATCTACATGAAACCACTGGGTGAGTCATTCGTTGACACCCCGGGCCAGGCAGGGGATGCTGTTGGGGTGCTGACCCAGTGCCTGCAGTCTGTGAGGGTCTGGATGTGGAGGAACCGGCTTCAACTCAACCCTGGCAAGATGGAGTGGCTTTGGGGTTTTGGCCCCCCAGGGTCTGGAGGTGTGTTATTTTGACTCTTGATGGGTAGCACTGCCCCAGACAGAGTTGGTGTGCAAATTGGGAGTCCTCTTGGAGTCATGGCTCCTGCTCAAGGAGCAAGTGGCAGTCGTGGTTAGGGGGGGGCCTTTGCACATTTTCCTCTTTGTGCCATTTGTGCCCATTCCAGGACCAGGAGGCTTGCTCATGGTCACTCATGCCTTGGTCACTTCCCAATTAGACTGATACAATGCACTCTACGTGAGGCTCCCCTTGAAGACTGCCTAGAAGTTACAACTGGTCCAAAATGCGGCAGCACGGTGTTGAGCACCCCTTGGTTCGCCCATACAGGTAGTCCTTGTTTAGTGAATGCAATTGGTATAGCGAAATGGTTGCTAAATGACATGGTCGCTAAGCAAACCACATGACTGAGAGAGAGAGACTGCGAAGGTCACTGGTTGCTGCCTTCTCTTTCAAATAAAGTTCTCTGTACAGTGTCCTGTGCCTGCCCTTCCCCCCCCTTTTTTGCCTCCTTGCAGGGTGGAGATTCCTTAAACAAGCTATCTCTTCCTGAGCTGCTTTTCTATGGATCAGATCCTTAAAAGGTGCTAACCACAAGTTAACAAGCTCAGCTCTGTAACCTTAATTAGCTCATTAGAATCCTCCAGCTGGCTTCCAGCTTTGCCTGAAACTGACCAGATCTTAATCAGTTTCACACTGAAGGTTTTTGTTGTCCTAAATGCACACTGGTCAGAAAATGATTTTTTTATTACCATTTATTACCACTGCATTTGTGAATAGTCACTATCCAAGGCAGTTGCTAAACAAGGACTACTTGTATTACACCTCGGTTACACAAGCTGCAGTAACTCCAGTTTTTTTCTATGTGCAATTCAAGGTACCGGTTGTCACCTTTAAAGCCCTACATGGCTAGGGGCTAGGTTATTTGTGGGACTGCCACTCCTGGAGGGTATCTGTCTGTTTCACCAAATTGAATAGAGTAGGGTCCCTTCCCTTAAATCCTGCCATCCAGTGAGACCTAGTAAGTGTGTCTTTTCTGTAGTAGCCTCTGCCCTGTGGAACACCCTTCCCCCTGAGATCCAGCAGGCCCCCACCCTTTTAGCCTTCCAGAAGGCCATAAAGAGCTGGCTGTTCCCCCAAAAGCTGGGGTAGAGTGAAGATTGGAGCCCAAAGATGGTGGTGGTGGGCTGCATCAGAGGAGAATGGTTGGGGTGCCAGGTTTTCGCTTTTATTGTTTTTTGGTTTTTATTGCCATTGTGAACCACCCAGAGTTGTGTTTCTGAAGATGGTCGGCCTTGCAGTTTTTTAAATGAATAAATAAATAAAAGGAATCAGATGTGTTGGTGGATCACAAGTGAACAGTGTGATGCAGCTGCAAAAAAAAGTAAAGCAAAGAAAAAAAGCAAATGCATTCTTAGGTTGCATCAGCAGAAGTATTAAGATCAAGAGAACTCATGATTCCTCTCTACTCTGCATTGGTTGCCACACCTAAAGCCCTGAATTCACTTCTGGACATCATAAACTGGACAACGTCCAGAAATGAGCAGCCAAGTTGCTAAGGGGCTTGGAGAGAAACACTCCTAAGGAAGGGCTGGAGAATTCTCTAGAGAAGTGACGTCGGCTTGACAGCTCTCTTCTAGGAGCTGAATATATTTTCAGTTAGCACAGGTTGTGCCATGACTCAGTCTGCCCATATTTTACTGGGGATTGGGCCCTCCTCTCTGTTTTAAGAGTCAGAGTGTAGCCCACTCTTCCTAGTGCTGGAGCAGCTCTCTAATGTCTCAGGCAGAGCATTCATACATCCGTTGATACCAACTTGCCCATCACAGAAGAGGAGTAAGAAACAGCATGCCAATGGAGGGCGGAGCTGGCGTCGCGGCGATACGGCGGGGGGC